CATATCTTTCAAAGCAGCCTGAACTTCTTCTTTCATCACCATAGGCTCTTGCTCATAATTACTATTAGATGAACAATAGAATTGCTCTGTAGGGTTTGCAAGGCTGTGAGTATTTAGAAGCAGATAGCCAGTCTTGTCTCCTGGGGTTCTTCTGGGTGAGTCTGAACCAGCAACTTTTCTTCTAGTAGTCAAACACTTTATCATGTCATTTATGTTTGTATGTATGTCTAAAATCTATCAGTTGGTGAAATAAGGGGGAGCACTGGTGGCCTAATGGTAACGCTGCCAACCCAAAGGCATGAAAAAAGATGGGCATTTTCTTCCCATGTGATTTACAGCCTCTGAAAACCCAGAGGGTCAGCTATGAGTTGGTTCTGACTTGATGATACATAACAATGACAGGTGGCACAGGCTGTAATTATGCAGGAAGTGGAAAGGGCTGATTTATCTGGTAAGGTGACATTTGAGCAAAAACTGGAATCACTTTCTCCTTCCCTTCCTATCCATATACTCTCCAATTATCTCCCACCCCTATCTCACCTCACCCCTGTACTCACATATACCAGCCCTACTAGCCTCACTTTTCCCTGGAACTTATCACACACTTCTGAAGCCTTGTTGCTGTTGTTGTTATGTGCCATCAAGTCATTTGCAACTCATAGCTACCCTATGTACAACAGCTCTAAACCCTGCTCTATCCTGGGCCAATCGCACTGCCTCTGACACACCCACCCTGATTACCCCAGTCACTGAATCAATCCATCTCATAGAGGGTCTTCCCCTCTTGCGCCATCCCTCTACCCTCCCAAGAATGATGTCCCTCTCCAAGGACCTGTCCCTCCTTGCAACCTGCCCAAAGTATGTCAGACAAAGCCCCAGAATCCTTGCCTCCAAGGAGTTGCTTGTTTTAATCCGCTCCAGCATGAAACTGTTTGTTTTCTTGGCAGTCTATGGTACATTCAAAACTCTTCTCCAGCACCACAGCTCAAAGGCATCAATTCTCCTTCTGTCCTCCCTAGTCATTGTCCAACTCTCTGATGCATAACAAGTGATTGCAAAGACCAAGGCCTGTATCAGGCACACCTTAGTCTCTAGAGAGACACCATTGCTCTTGAGTACTTTAGAGAGGTCCTTAACAGCAGACTTTCCCATCGCAATACGTTTTTTTATTTCCTGGCTGCTGGTGCCAAGAGTGTTGACTGTGGAGCTGAGCAAACTGAACTGTGAACAATCTCAATCTCTTCGCCATCCATCCTGATGCTACCAATTGGTCCAGTGGGGAGAATCTTTGTCTTCTTGACATTGAGCCTCAGTCCATACTGAAGGCTGCAGTCCTTGACCCTCTGCAGCAAGTGCATGAGGTCCTCCTCAGTTTCAGCGACCAGGGTTGTGTCATCTGTATAACGCAGATTGTTAATAGATCTTCCACCAATCCTGATGCCATGCTTCTCCTCATAGAGCCCAGCCTCCCTGATAATCTGCTCTGCATACAGGTTGAAAAGGTATGGAGACAAGACACATCCCTGGTATACACCCTTCCCAATTTTGAACCATGTGGTGTTATTCTGCTCTAGGGTTCTAATACCACTGTCTAATTCTACTGTCTGGATGGGGTGGGTTCTTCTTCCATATAGCTGCATGGCCCATTTCAGCTTTAACATTCACATTCCAACTCAGTACAATGCACCCAGCTCCCTATTTAAAGTTGCACCCTCATCTCTATATTCAAATATATCTTGCTCTGCACTATTTCCCCCATAACACTCCTTATCTCCTAAAGTTTACAATCACTAAATTATTTGTCATACTTTTTCCTCATTCATCATGCAGGGTAGTGGTTGTTTGTTTTGCTTCTTGCTCTTTCCCTGCTGTCTGTCACATGGCATACCTGATCCATACTTATTGAACAACAAACAAGAGTACCAAGCAAGAGAACCTAAAGGCTTGATTTCCTTGATTATACTCATGACAGAGAGCTCTGGTTCCTGCTCGACCCTGTGATCCTACATCATCCCTCAATGGTAACCACTTCCTTTCATAAATATACACCCACAGATGTTAAATTACTTAGAGGATCAGCAGGAATCCATGAGTGATGCAAACACTAAAGTGCTGAAAGGTAGAGAGTCAAATCCATTCAAAGGTGCTGTGGAAGAAAAGCCTAGAAAACCAATTCTAAAGGATCACAAGCACTGAAACCCCAACGGGAGCAAAGAAATCACCATTAGTTGGAATCGATTTGTCAGCAGCTATGTTTTTGTTTTGGTAACAACATGCCTCTGGAAACTCTATGAACTTTGAAAACTGATGATAGTTATAGAAAGTCTTTAGGCCTTTTGTTCATAGGGTTGTCACACTCGACTCAATGGCAATCAACAAAAAGTGGTGATAAGAGCAATCACTAGTCCCTATCCTAAAGCTGGAAACCTAACACATCAGGGATTGCTTTATATATAGAGAAAGACTTAGGCTGAGAGTCCACTCAAGAAGCCCTATGTGGCTCAGAGTTCCTCCCTAGCACTGTCACAAGGAGGAGAGTTAAAAGGTCAAGATCTACTAAAGGGTTCTTGTACTACCAAGAGGAGCCACTAGGTGTTTCAGGGTAGGCCACCACACTGTAGCACGTTTCCTCCACTGAACATTGCTTTAGTGATGTGACCATCAACTCAACCCACTGTCACCAGAATCTGCATCCCTAAGCCGTATATTCCCTCTCATCCAACCAACCACACAGGCCCTCTTGCTAATTCTCTGATATCAGTGGCATTCTGCTTGGCATAGTCTTGTCCAAGATAAACACAGGTTGACTCTCACTCTACCTAGGCTGCTGTCCAAGCATTACTCCATTTGAGGTGTCTGGTCTGCACACCCCAAGTAACACACCACACACACTGGCACCTCCCTTCCTTCTTGTCTCCCTCTGTTCATATTTCCTCTTATCACCAGCTGTCACATTCTAGAATTTCTTATTGCTTTCCCCCCGCCTCTCCTTCCACTTTAAGGCAAGCTCTGTGATAACAAAGAATTTCTGTGTTGTTCCTGTTATGTTCCCACTGCCTAAGACGGTGTCTGGCACATAATAAGTACTTAATATATACTTGTCAAATGAATGAATAGTCCTTCTTTAACCAGTCAGCCATCCCTTAAAAAAATTATTAAACTGCATAACTAGCCACATAAGTGTTCAGAAAAAAGTAACAAAATTCACTGCCTTCATCAAGTTTTCCCAAGGTAGACCCAGATTCACAGCCCTCACAGATTCAAAAGAAAACAATCAAGCCGCTGTGCTCACCTGATCAGCCCCCGATACATAATGTATTCGCACCATCTGTCATAATCCGTGCTGTCGATGTCCTAATAGAGAACAGAGGAGAGAATGTTGAAAGCAGAAAGAACAATCTTAGTTTCTGAACTGCAAGACAATCTGTGAGTTACAGAGATAAATGTGCATGCTACTTTATTTTTTTCTGGCTTCTATTCATTTAAAAAAATCATTTGGTAGATATCCCTTGAACATTTGCTATATGCCAATCTAGTTACCATACAAGTAACTCGGGAGGCGTAGTCTGTAGGAAACTGTGATGTTGGTGGTTCGAAGCCATTAGCAGGTGTGAGGGACAAATATGGGCAATCTCCTCTGGAGATTTACAGCCTTGGAAACCAGCTGGAGGGTCAGCTATGACTTGACTTTGACTCAATGACAAGAAAAGAATTGAGCTGCTGCATTGTTGTTTTGTTGTTGTTGTTGGGTGCACTGGGTCTGCTATGACTCATAGCTACACTATGATCAACAGAGCAAAACCTTGCCCTTCGCTGTGCCATCCTCATGACAGTTGCCATGCTCAAGCCAATTGGAATATAAAGAAGAAAAGGGAGCTGGGCAGGCCCATCACTCAACAGAATACAGCTCATGCCTCCCTGCAGTTTTCCGAGAACTTTACCCTAAACAGCATTTACCATCTCTCCTCTCATCCGTCGTCCTGAGCACCACTTTCTGCCCAGCAATTCATTCTACCATGCTGCTACAGGAACTCGTTCATCTGGTCACCACCCTGCTTTTTCCAGAGCACAAGGACACTCAATCTCTTTTGTCTCCGTACATAGCACCAAGCCTGCTGTTCTGAAGGTGCTCAGTGTATGTTTGTGAAATTGAATCTGGGAAATAGCCACTTAGGGGAGAAATCATGAGTCTTTTTTGACATAGGAAGCTTGAGACCAGAGCTATTATTCATCAGACAAGCACACTATATATTTCCTATACTATATGAGGAAAATGCTAAGTAACGGAGCTGGTTCACTGAAGGAAGACATCTCCTTCTGTAAAAATCATGTAAATATAAATATACCTGGCTTTTGCCATCCCTGAATTTTACTATTATATTTAATGAAAACCATTTTAAATCCCTAAAAGAACAGAGCACAATTTATTTATCTCTTAATTTCTCCCCTTTATCCTTAGTGGAGAACACACGAATACATGAATGAATAGTACTCAAATCTTTATTATCGTCTATATTATGTACCTACTAATATACTTTGACCAATTGTTCAAACATGGAGATACTGGGTGGTTTAAAATCAAGAAAGCTGCAGCCCCATAAAACACACACACACACACACACACACACACACACACATACACACATACACCCAAAATACCATAAACCTTTTCTATACATAAAAAAATAAAGTACATTTTAAACATTTAGAAGATGATAAAAAGGATTCTGATTTGCTTTAGGAAGAGGTACACATTTAGTCCTTACTGAGAATAATAAATCAGGGGTCTATTTAATTATCATTTTATTTTCTCAAGTTTAAACAAAATGCTGTCCACTATCAAGACTAAGAGAATTCATATATTCATTTCTTAAGAGAAAGATTTGTTCAACCGAGCATCTCTTCCTTAAATTCATCTCTGCATTCATAAACTACCTAATGGAAAAAGCCTGTCACCAGTTCTGACATAGCTTCTGACATCAATACTGGAAACCAACAGAGGATTAAATAAAAATGAAATGAAATAAAATCCATCTTGGCTAGCACCATATATATCTTTACACACACAACAGGGGTACAGACATAATACATACACATAAAAAATGCTTCTTTTATCAGGATGATGTTTTTTTCCTCAGACTTGCCAGCTCTCATCTTGTCTAATGGTACTTACATACATATTTATAGTGTTTCATTTTATAGATATAGCCATTAAAATACACACACACACACACACACACACACACACACACACTACCACTTATGAAGTATATTCCACATTTGAAGGCTATGGATATGCTACAACCCAGTCTCATAACATAGAGAAGCAAGAGATATAATATTACAATGTTACATATGTAGAAACTCAGACCCCAAAAAGTTAAGGAGCTTATCCTCAGGTCACAGCCAGTCAACGCAGACCATGCAGAGAGAAAAGGCCCAGCCACCAGCTCATCCCACATATGTGACTGAGGCTGCCTTAGACCCTCCACACAAAGCTGATACACCAGCTCATTGTCTAATGAACCCAGGCAAGAACATGGAGCTACCAAGTCAAGGGAAGTAATAAACTGATGCATTATCATTTGAGCTAAATTGGAAGCAGGAGTGGCATCTACTTCCTAAACAACATGTCTCTGAAAACTCTATGAATTTTGAGAAACAACAATGGTTATCAAAAGGGTTCAGGTCTTTTGTTCATAGAGTCACTATGAGTCATGCTCAAATCAACAACAATCAACAACAACAACATTATTGTAAAATAGAAGGATAACTAGTAAAACATGTACAGGAACTCAAGCAGGGCAGGGGGAGTGGAGGGGTGAGGAGAGGTAGGGGTAAAGCCACAGGACTGCACAGTTCAGTGGGTGGAGGGCTGGGAGAAAGCAAATGGGAAGGATCCAGGCGAAAAGACAGGCTAATGACAGGCAAGGTCTAATGGTGATTGAATTTATAAAACAGAATGCATGAGAACGATTGTATTAAATATGGTGTGAATGAAGAATAGTGTGAAACACAATACATATAAACTTTGTTGTTGTTGGTTGCTTTTGAGTTGAGCATGACTCATAGCAACTCTATGAATAAAAGGCCTGAAGACCCTCTACAACTACCAACATTTATCAAAGTTCGTGGAGTTTGTGGAGGCATGTTGTTTAGGAAGTAGATGCCACTCTTGCTTCCAAACCTGTATATTTAGTATGTATGTTATTGTTTTTATGTGCCAGTGAGTCACCTGTGATGTTTAGGGAGTGACCCTATGTACAGCAGCTCTGAACCCTCCCCTGTCCTGAGCCAGTGTTACACACCAAGCCCCACCACCCCAGTTACTGTATCAATCCATCTCCGGGGTCTCCCTCTCCTGTGCTGTCCATCCACCCTTCTGAGCATGATTTCCTTCTCCAAGGACCTATCTCTCCTGGCCATATGCCCAGAGTAAATGAGGTGGAGCTTCAAAATCCTAGCCTCCAAGGAGAGACTTAGTTTCATCCTCTCCAAAACAGACATTATTTGTTCTCTTTGCAGTCCACAAACATAACACAAACTTCGTAAGCAAACCAGATTAAAAAAAAAAAGTAAAGTAAAAAAAAATTACTGGTGACTGGAACACAAAATTTGGAAACAATGAGGAAAGAACAGTAGTTGCAAACTATGGACTTGGAGACAGAAATGAGTCTGGAGGTTAATAATAAAATTTTATGAGCTTTATGTGGATATCACCTGAAGGACTGCACAGGAAACAGAATGACTATATTTGAGGAAACAATCGTTGGAGAAATGAAGTATCAGCAGGCAAAACCAGACCAGGTGCCAAATGTAGAACAGACCATCATGTGCAAGATTAAACTGAAGCTGAAGAAAATGAAAATTAGTTCACAGGAACCAAAATATGGCCTTGAGTCTATCCCAGTTGAATTTAAGAACCATCTCAAGAACATGTTTGAGGCATTGAATACAAGTGATGGAAGACATCAAATCTTTGATATGAGAGGACATCAAAGATATCATCCATGAAGAGAGCCATTAAGAGAAGGCAGAAAAAAAGGAAAAGCCAAAAGAGTTGTTAGAAGAGAGTATGAAAATTGCATTAGTGTGTCAAGAAGCAAAAACAAAAGGAAGAAATGTCAAGATAAAAGAGCTGAACAGAAGAGTTCCAAGGGCAGCTAGAGAAGACAAAGTAAAATATTAAAATGAAATAGACAAAGAACTGGAGACAGAGAATAAAAAGGAATGAACTTGTTTAGTATTTCTCAAGCTAAAAGAACTGATAAACAAATTCAAGCCTCAAGTTACAATCCAGAGAGACTCTATGGGCAAAATCTTGAATGATCCAGGAAGCATCAAAAGATGGAAGGAATACACAGAATCATTGTACCAAAAAGAATTAGTTGACACTGAGACATTTCAGGAAGTATCATATGACTGAGAGCCAGTGGTAATGAAGGATGAAGTTTAAGCTGCACTGAAGGCACTGGGGAAGGGGGAAAGCCCCAGGAATTGACGGAATACCAATTGACAGTTTTCAACTAACAGATGCACTCCTGGATGTGCTTACAAGTCTATGCCAGGGAATTTGGAGGATACCTGTCTGGCTGACTAACTGAAAGAGATCCATATTTTCCCCTATTTCCAAGAATAGTGATCTAACAAAATATGGAAATCACCAAACAATATCATTAATATAATATGCAAGCAAAATATTGCTAAAGATTATGCAAAAACCGCTAGAATAGTACATTGACAGGAAATTGCCAGAAGTTTAAGCTGGTTTTAGATGAGGCAGTGGGAGCAGGGGTATCACTGCAGATGTCAGGTGGATCCTGGCTGAAAACAGAGAATACCAGAAGAACTTCTATTTGTATTTTAATCGACTGTGCAAAGGCATTTAACTGTGTGCATCATAATAAATTATGATTAACACTGGAATCAGGAGTGGTATCCACTTCCTAAACAACATGTCTCTGGAAACTCTATGAACTTTGATAAATGACAATAGTTGTAGAGGGGTTTCAGGCTTTTTTGTGCATAGAGTTGCTATGAGTCGTGCTCGACTCAAAGACAATCAACAGCAACAAAAGAATGGAAATTCTAGAATAATTAATTGTGCTCATGACAAATCTATACCTAGATCAAGAAGCTGTTGTCCAAACAGCACAGGAACACTGCATGGTTTAAAATCAAGAAGGGTGTGCATCAGGACTGTACCCTTTCTCCATACCTATTCCATAGGTAAGCTGAGCAAATAATTCACAAAGCTGAACTTTATGAAGAAGAATGTGGCATCAGGATTGGAGGAAGACTTTTCAATCTTTGTTGTGCAGATGGTACAATTTTGCTTGCTGAAATTGAGGAGAATATAAAACACTTGCTATAGAAAGAAAATCAAGGACTACAGCCTTCAGTGTGGATTACATTTCTACATAAGAAAATAAAGGTCCTCACCACAGGACCAACAGTCAACAATATGATAGAGATATAATAGAAATTGTCAATGATTTCATCTTGCTTGGATCAACAATCAACACCTTTGATACCAGCAGTCAAGAAATCAAAAGACATATTTCACTAGGCAAGCCTCCTGTCAGGCACCTTTCCAAAATGATGAAGAGCAATGATGTCAGATTGAAGACTAAGGTGCACCCAATTCAGGCCATGGTCTTCTCAATTACCTGCTACACATCGGAGAGATGGATAATGGATAAAGATGATATAAGAAAAACTGTTGTCTTGAGCTGCGGTGCTAGTGAAGTACTCAACATACATACAGCCTTGAACTGCCAAGAGAACAAGCAGGTCTGTCCTGGAAAGGGTGGAATCAAGTTGCTCCCTGGAGGCAAGGATTTTGGAGGCTCTGTGTCACATACTTTGGGCATTTGGCCAGGAGGCAGCAATACTTGGAGAAGGACATCATGCTTGGAAGGGTGGAGGAAAAGCACAGGAGAGGAAGACCCTGGATGAGAAGAATTTACAGAGTAACTAGACTAACAGGGTTAGGTGTGTCAGAGTCAGTGAGATTGGCTCAGGACAGGGCAGGATTCAAAGCTGTTGTGCATAGGGTCACTCTGAGTCACAGGTGATCCAACAGCACATAACAAAAGACTAAAGGAGCTCTGGTGGCCTAGTGGTAAGAAACTGTACTGCATTCTCGAAGCCACATGATTCAAATCCACCAGCTGTTCTGTGGGAGAAGAATGGGCAATCTCCTCCCAAGTGATTTACTGCTTCTAAAAACTTGCTGGAGGGTCAGCTATCCATGGGTTATGACACAATGGCACACAACAAAGTACAAGACTTTACTTTGATCTGTATAGTTTCTGCTTAATTTTCTTGGGGCACTCACTCTTAGGGCCCAGTTGTCTGAAAGAATTGTTGTTCACTGTTGTCAAGTTAGAATCGACTCATAA